TCTTTGCTTGGAAGTAATCCACATGATGTAAGCCAACGTGATGTAGCAAAATTCCGTCAATGGTACAATTATGAGAAAGAAGAGTGCATATGCATTAGAACTTATCAAAACCGATTATATGCTTCCAGGAAAACTTTATCCAGTGATTTAGACATTAACACATTAGCATCACGAATTTAGACATTACTTATAACCTTTTAGCTGTGAGAAGATCAGTAGCCTCCGTGGGATTCGAACCCACGCATGAATGGTTTTGTATAGCACAAGCTCCATCAGCTGAGCTACGAGACCGGACCGGTGGCACTGGTCTTTTAACATCTGGATTAGCCACAAAAACTAGAGAGGCATGTGAAATTCACCAATTAGCATGTAAGCTGACAGTCAGTAGGATTTCCTTAAAATCCACTGTTCAATATGAGCATGGGAAACAAACACGGATTGTGTATCCTGTCTCACCCTAGTCCCAAATGATTTCGATCAGGATCTATCTTCACAATTGTCACTCACTCCACGTGTACTCAATAAAGATGTTAAAGCATAAAAAATCTGAAAGATAGTTAATGATCATGAAATTCGAAATTATTTGTACGTGAACCGGAATATTATAGCCGGTTCAAATAAAATTCATTAAATCAGACAACTGTGTGATTTAAAACATGATCTTTTTTTTGGCTTAGGAGTGCTAAAAGAGTTCTTATTTATTTCCCTACGGTTCATTATAAGGAAAAAGTTTCCATCAGAAGATGAAATGGTCCTATAATAGTAAACAGGAAATACGAGTTATGCTCAATTATCACCTTTGATCAAAAACAAAAATGCCTTCTTTTTCCAACCCCTGAAGTAAATGGGCGAAATTGTGCATATAAATCTTCATCTTTTGTTGACACAAACAACCGCAATCTGGAAGGTCGGTCAGCTAGGAGCAATTGATTCTCACAGAAGCATTTTATCCTTGACCTCGTTTGCGGACAGAATGCTGATCCAACACAATCGGATATCACATGATCACGTGGTCTGATTGAAGGGGCTGAAATGTGAGTGATTTGCATAGTTTTCTCATCGTTTCCATCAATTCTGAGTACCACAATCAAGATGAAGGTACCAGTAGCATCCAACTGTCACTGCCCATAATACGGTCCCAAATGGGTAATTTCTTTGGGGGGTTATTTGGCATAAATTTGAAAATCTCTGGCAATTAAACGGCGAACAGTTTTTCTGGTGGATTTCGTCCATAAATCAAATGGAGTGAGCAGATTATTAGTTGTAGCACTCCGTTAGATCATGGAAAAGAAGATCGTAAATATAACTCTGCAACCGAGTCTATATTGTAAGAAGTACACCATTTTGTAAGATTTTTCAGAGATATTTTATGCGATTGAATTGTGAAAATGTCAGTGATCTTGGTTGGATTCAAAATCCTTTATAGATATTTGCCCTCCTACACCCACCCTAAGCCACAAAGTTAATCTGACACCTGATATTTCTACAGGAGTTCACCTAACTCATCTAGACCGACACATAGAGACAATGGTTAGCATATGAGATGCCTGTTCTGACAGGTCAAATAGGTCTTTGTGACCTCGTGGCTCAAGAGGTGTACGTGGAAAAACATGGACGGCATCCTGGATTCGAATCTCATTGAGGCTAGTGATCTTTCTGTGATTAAACCACTTGATCAGAGATTAACAATACAAATACATCTTAGATCCATTTTTGGAAACATTCTTACTCAGTCCAACCAGGAATGAGACTGTTGTCAATAAAATATTGTTACTAATATGGTCTGGTACCCCAAACGAATTTTTCTAAATCTCACGGAGATTAAAAGTGAGTTGAGAGTTTAGGTAAACAAAATAAAAACCACCTGAAAGTAGCGTTTTTACTTGTTTCCATTCCTGGATCTGGGACATCTGTTTCTATCTATTTGAACACTGTCCTAATTTTCTAATTTTGCTTTTAAACAATGTAACATTTTTAAAATGCTTGTTATTCATTCCGATCAAATTCCTTGATCCAGTGTGATACTGAAAATCTGAAATATTTTTCAATTATCGAATGCCGCAATGCGCTGGTGTATGTGTGCTTGTTTGTGATGTCACAATCGTGTGATTGTAATTGTGAATGAGTGCTCTTTCCTTTTTTTCGGTTCAACCTTGACAGCAGTGTGGATTGCATGTGCCATGCTAGACTTCCTCGGAAAGAAACATTACGCACGCCTAGTTGGAAAAATGTCTAATAAATCTCTTGAAACTTAAATGCAATCACACTATATTTGCGTAACACGCAAAAGTCACCTATATCCATGTGAAGTTATCCAGACGGAAAATGTATCTGTAGCGCTGAATACGCAGAAAAGCTGTTACAGAAGATTCCGCCACTTTTTATAGTCCACGATTGGGGAAGCAGGTCACCATCGAAAGATTCGGCTCTTGTCTGAGTAGGGAGATTATAATGTTGTGCAACAGTAAGCCACCTAGATTTTGGAGAACTTTGAATGTGTTCTAACCCAAATCTGGGCCTTGATGATTAGTTAGGAAAATGGAAATCGATAAATGCTCGAAAAATAGCAGTCAGTTATTGCTCATTATCTATACATTTATATAAAGTTGTTTGATTCATTTCAAAGTCCAGGATACGATCTTTTAAACCCGAGTTGACGTCACTTTGCAAGTCCCGATTGCCTTACCGTAAAATTGACATCATAACGTAAGTCTTTTTCAATTTCACTGCACGGTTGATTTATATTAAACTAGTAAAAGTCATATTCGTAAGGACTATTATACGATCGGGGTTGGGATATGTTCACTCAGAATACAACTTGTTGCGTATGCGCTTGAAGCTAACATTATTAAACTAATTGAAAACCTGACTAAGGAAGAATGTTCTACAACGCTGTGTTTCATGAAAATGCATATTTAAACAACATCGTTCAACAAGTGTTTTGAGGGTCACTTGGTCACCAGTGCTTACTACAGGACTCACCGAGAGATAAAGCGGAGTACAGTCCGAAAGGTATGATATTGTGGAAAAAATATATGGTTAATAATGATAGGATAGGAGGACAATTGCACTGCAATGCGCGACTGATCAAAGAGTGAGTTTTAAGAGCATCTCAGATGGACATGGTGTTAAAGCGCCAGTGTCCAAAAGTGATGAAAAGTCAAAGGATTTACTCGCATAAACAAACTAATCATTAAGCAAAGCCATATCACCTAAATTCACGAATCCAATATATAACCATTAGGATAAAAATTTTGTGCAAGAAAAGCCGCATTTTAAGTTGAGTAATCGTTTTATTTCCCTCCTTGAGTGAATACGCAGTTGTAGTAGTAGCAGTAGAAGAAGAAGAAAACAAAGGCGGTTGGGATGATAGATTCCGATTCAACTATCTCCACCACTCAGCATTGTCTTAACTTTATACTGTGCGAAATCATGTTTCAAGAAGTTAGACTTTGTCCCTCAAATTTTTCATAAAACATTGAAGGAAAAAAGCACCCAACCAAATTTTACAAACCTAAAAATTGATCATCTTTGGTGCAAACATCAAGGCCTTTAAAGAACCGTGGTGCATGACCCACCATTTACGAAATCATAAAATGTTCAAAGTATTCAGTGTCACGTCATTCTCGATTTTTTATTCAAATAATTAGACTTCATTCTTGAATCTTCATTGATGTAATTTTTGTAAAGTACAACAATCGACCAATGCGTTCCGCTTCCCATGGCCTAAATACAAACAAACCCACATACCAACATTCAAACAAGTCATTATTTATTACGACGAAAACGCAGTAATAACTGTGAGCTAATCACTTTACTACATTTGTCATTAAGACGGTACTTCATCTGTTCTTATTTTACATCACAAAATAAACCAAAAGTTACCTTTTCTTATGTCTCACAATGCTCTGGGTCTCAGTGCCCATGATTGTCCTAACACACTTACCAACTTCAAACTTATGTTTTGCCTGATTACGTGTTATTCAGAACATCATGCAATTGGTAAACACTAAACTGAATAAAAGTAATTTATTTTGAATAAAATGCAATTTTAATGAACTTTTTGAATTTGACTGTGGTTTCGGTCATTTTATTCCTAAACCGTTGCAATCAAAATTGTGTAAGAAATTCGGCAGAAATGTATGCTATGATTTTATCTACTGGAACTATTAATTAGCTTACGAAAATTATATATTCATATCTATTAGGATTTGTTATTTGTCGAATCGTTATCACCAAAATAGAATATCACAATCAGCAAAATATTAATCCACATAGCAAAAGCTAACGAGATTCGATTGCCGAAAGTTGACAGTCAGCTGACTTTGGAAAGTGCCGACAGTATGTTTTCTTGGGTTTATTCTCATTAAAGCCAGTCAAGTTTTTTAAGCTTTTCGGATTAAACGGAACTCAATTTACTTTTGGGAAATCACCTGTTGACTCACATGATATTGTAAGACCAAGCCAAGGTTTTAATGAGTAAATGGTGGTTATGGAAGTTGAACGAAGGCATATTTTGATATAAGATACACTGCTGTTATAAATTTGGAAACATCCAAAAAGCCGTCAGTACCTTCAAAAGTAATCATTTTTAACAAACATTGACGAAATGCAAACAATATGCTAACAGACGGAGCCACAAATGAAAGTGAGTCATTCAGGAAACTCAAACTAATGGCTCTTATTTATGAACTAAAAAAAATCTCACTTGTATCTGTGTTATTACATTAGCGATATCACAAAATTGTTTTGATACTGCAAGATGAAATGAGTAAAAAAGACTCCTGTCATAAGATTGCGAACCGTTTATATCTAAATTATATTCTATTCTAATAAAAGCAAACAATACAGTGGTTTCTGTGATGTTTTATTCTTTAAAAGAGTAAAGTACGTGCTTAATGAGATTCGACTTTCAGAACATTAAAGAAAAAGTTCAATCTTATCCAAAGGAGCATGAAACTCGTGTAAAACCCCTTAGCTATTTTTTCACACAAACGTACCTGTTTCTCAAGTTGCAATTGATGTAGATGATCTGCCAGAATTGCATACTTTGCATTTTCTTCCTTTCGCATTGATCGCTCACGCTTCAATTCAGGACTCCAGAATGTACGAATACTGGTTGTGCAGGCGTTTAGCTTTTCCCGAGTAACATCTAGTTCGTGTTGCAGTCGTAAGCATTCCCGTTGCAACGTAGTGATATCGGATGCTGAAGCAAAATTGAGCAATCCTGGTTGCAAGGTTGGGTATGCAGAAGTGCGTTGCAACGAGGCATAGTCCAACCCACCAAGTGAAGATAAGGTAGGGGCAGTAAGACCACTGTAATCCAGCAACTGTGTAGTCGGATTGCCGTAGATACTTTGAGTAGCTCCAACACCAGCAGCTGCAAGCAGACTATTGTAGTCAGCCAATCCTTGTTTTTCCAGGTTCATATCGTAAGAATGAGCCCGACGATGAGTTTGGGCACCAGAACCTAACACTGAAGACAATCCGGGATTTGAATTCAATGACTTTAGTGTGTATTGTTGTCTAGCAGCAGGCTTGACTAAACGTTCGGGCACGGCATCAAAATTTCCTCGTAATGTACCATATAGCTCACCTCGGCGATCCAGTGAACCTGCACGACTGTCCAATCCTAACGTACCGGGATTCTCAACGTAAGCAGCCTGATTAATTCGTGGAGAACTAGAGTGTGCGTGTATTCCGGAATCGTACATATCCCCGTAACCTAAGTCCCGGGCACTAGCGGGTCTGGGACGTTCAGCAGCCCCGCGGTACGTGTCTTCCGGATAGACAATCTGATCCCGGTAGCTATCGCGATGATGATAAGGCGATCGGGGATCTATACCTTCCATGAACAGTTATTTAATACGGTGTTTGACAATTTGCAGATCAGATGGTCGTAATACGGCTTGAAATCTGTAAACACAGTGTAAAATGAACGGCAGGTTAGTGTTTGCAAAAATAGCTCCAGTAAAAATAAAATTAATTTGAGAACATGATGCCATTACATGTTCCCATATATACAATTAAGAATATTCCAGATAAAAATAGCCTAAACATTAGAAAAGTGAACATTTTGTGTTGAGGTTCCTAATTACATGTTACGAAAAGTTAATCGAGGAAATAAGTCTCACTATTACATAAACGCAAGTGTTTTCTGAAAATTACAAATATTTTATATTCTGAATTTGATGTTATCTTACATTTTTCATTCTAATTCACAGAAAAAAGGCGTGCAAAATGCTTTTCTCACGTGGGCCTGACTCCGTAAGGGTTTTAATATTGTCCACATTTGGATGACAAGAGGGTTAAATTATTCAAACATTGACATATTTCAAATGATCATAATAGAAAACCTAAGTGTTTGAAAATTCGCAGAGGTCATAAAGCTGAAAAAGGTTCTGTAAATTCGCACTTGGGGAATTGGAATTTTTAATTTCATTCAATCAGTTATCAAGACCAGATATAAATACATATTGCGTTTAATGTAGATATAGATCCTCATATGCACACAAATAGCTGAACAACGATAAAGATTACTGTAAATAATAATGAAGTAATAATTCGTATATGTTAGAACAGAATTTATGCATTTGGTTGCCACCAAATACTCAAATGGCACATTACTTTTTCAAGTTGAACAAAGAAAAGTCACATTCTTTGCCTCAAAGAAATTTCCTTGTAGCGATTTGTGACCCCATTATTTCCGAAATAAAACTTAACTGATCAGATAATACCATAATCTAGAGGGTGTACTGCTTTAAAAATTCTTTCAAATCAAGCACTGACTAGAAACCACATACATGAAAATGATCTATCACGATCCACACATGATTGCACTCCGCTTATTGACAAATGGGAATAGCTGGCGGAAACCAATTTCAGAAAACTGACTTAATGGGAAGAAAACGCTTCAGCATATTGCCAAGAACATCAATATTTGCGTCAATTTACCAATAGCTAAAGTAGATTCATTGTGTAATAGTTTCGGGTTGATTAAATAGTAGTGTCATGATTTTGAAAAAGTTGGTGTAGTACGAAGAAGAGTGCACCAAATTCGCAGTTTTAGAACACCATCGTAGCAAATTAGAGGCACACATAAACAACAGGGCTAGAGAAAATAAAAGTATACTATATTAAGTCAATGAATAATTATCTCAATCATAATTTGGAACCGAAATCGATTCGAACTGATCCATGTCGGTGGTAGCATACTAACGAGTTCAATCAGGACAGATGTTAAGTTCATGATATTACCGAATCGTTAATCAAGTAAGCGCAAAAGTTGACATCAAAAGATGCAATATATCACTAAGGATGTAAGCAAATAATACTATTGGCTTGTCATGGGACCTATTGGTTATAACCATAGGTTTCATATGGTTTATACGAATATATAAACTGTATGAAAACGAACGGGCCCTTTGTTTTCTTATTTTATGAGGTAGACATTTATATACTCATCGCTGAAACACATTGTTGCTTAGCATATTGCTGCATAACTATATTCCGATGCAAAAATTCATCGATCGATCGATGAAACTTGCACTGTTATTACGCACCAATTTATGATTTTTTGACACTATTTGCGCAAGTAAAAACGAGAATGTATGAGTTCGATGGTAATAATGTTTAAACTTCTTTTGATTTTGCAACCATCAGGAAAATGGTGGTCAACCTCAACATTTTAAAAGCGTTTCGTATAGAGTTCATACGTTTTGATTGCAACAAACAATACAAGTCAGGTCAGGTTGCACAGAATGGTAAAGGCTTTCGCCTGTCGAGCTTTCAGATTCTTGCTCCAGTCGGAAACACGTCTTCCGGAGCTTCGACTTCTTGCCG